ATTTTATTTGAAACTACATACAATAACAAAGCAGTTATTTAAATTTTTTATAAATATTTAACAATTAAACATTTTTTACATTTAATAAATATAGCCTTGATGAACTGAATAATTTTCCATAAAAAACATTTTTAAAAATACTGTAAATAAATATACAGAGTTGTTAAACCCCCTTTTGTTGTTTTTTTTTCTTTTTAAAATATTTCCTAAATGAAGTTTCATAAACTAATTTCGAGAGGAGCACGTGATATGATTGACTGCAGCCGGCCACTCATCTAAGCTCATTAGCTAGCCAATCGGAACGATCCAAACCCACTATAAATAACCTAGCTAAGATGTACACCCCTATCTTCGTTTTCCGAAGAAACCCCCCATCCACCCCTTCTCCTCCTTTCCTCTTTTGCCGAGGGGAGCTCTCGAGAACACCTGACCTCGTACTCCCCTCACATGCTTTATGGACCTGGCGGGAACCCTGGGCTCAACTATCTCCGAGCTCAGGGTTCTCTCCCGGGACAGCAAGCCAAACCTGCTAACTTGCTAACAAGTTGTCAAACAGTATCTAAGTGTGAACTCTTGAAATGATGTTTAACAGAGCAAAGAAATGTTGATAGTATGTCTGATAATATTTTTTTCCTCTGAACAAAATCTTATTTGTTTTATTTTGGCTAGAATAAAAGCAGTTTTTTTTATGAACCATTTTAAGGTCAAATTTATTAGCCTCTTAAGCTAATTGTTTTTCAGACTGTCTACAGAACAAACCCTAATTATACAATAACTTGCCTAATTACCATAACCTGCCTAGTTAACCTAATTACCCTAGTAAAGCCTTTAAATGTCACTTTAAGCTGTATAGAAGTGTCTTGAAGAATATCTAGTCAAAAATTATTTCCTGTCATCATGGCAAAGATAAAATAAATCAGTTATTAGAGATGAGTTATTGTTATGTTTAGACGTGCTGAGAAAATCTGTTCTCTGTTAAATAGAAATTGGGGAAAAAATAAACAGGGGGGCTAATAATTTAGGGGGACTAATAATTCTGAAATCAACTGTGTGTGTGTGTGTGTGTATGTATATATATATATATATATATATATATATATATATATATATATATTTATATTTATATTTATATATATTTATATATATACACGCACACACGCACAGTCAAATAGCTATTAACTTCTCTTTTTTTGGTGGGGCCAGTGAAAATTTTGGCAGGGCAAGTAAAAATCAGAACCAGTAGAAAAAAATCTTAGCGTTGAACCCTGCAGCGATATGCAAAACTTTCGTTTTCTTGCGTTTTACGGTTTGCAGCATTCGCATACGTGTGAATAGAAGTCAATTGGGCGAAAAGTGCTTGACTCCCCCCCATCCCATCCACAACCTTTCCAGAACAGACCCGCAGTCCATTTTCAAACACTGCAATAGACAAAATGCTGTTGTAGTTGAAGCACATGATTTGGTTTAGTATTTGAACAGACAACAGCTTTTGAAAATCTCTGCTCAAGTATCCCAGGCATGCTAAAGGCAGCGACAAAATAGGCTATTCCAAATAGCAGACATCTCCTCAGAATGAAATCTGGTTTGTGCCATAGAACAAGAATAGAATACCCTGCTATTACAGCCATTATATTCTGCTGAATTACTACACCTCTCACTTTCACTTCACGGCCTATTTCAGTCGCTGGTCTGAAAGTGCTCACTAAAACAGATATAGACAGAAATAACTGCTGGGCTTTGTCTGGATTCATTCTTTAGCGCAGTGCTCAATAAATGTGCAAATAAAATGTTTGTTATTGGTCTTGTCGTCAATGTTAATGATCAGATGTGACGTGCCACCAGGTTGGCATGTTATCCATACCCGGAGTCTGGAGATCGAATCTATTTGTTCTGCTGAAGTTTATGAATGATTCTTCAATAAATCCCTGTTGCCGAGGCTTATCACGCTCACTTCCCCTCACAGCTAATACCATAACCAAACATGGATTACAATTCCCAATCCGAAAAGCCTCTGCTGCATTTGGGAAAGGCTGTCAAACAGCTGCTGCACAATTAGTGGCAACACTTCCCTGAGCTTTCCAGTCTTTTGTTGTAAAAGGATATGCAACAGTGCAATCTTGTTGAGCTCTTACATTTTGGTCAAAAGATACGATGCAGGAAAACTTGCAGATAGTATACTTTGTGCACTTTGTCAAACCTTTTAAAGAACAGCCATGTACAGTAAAAACAACTCCAGCTATTGGATTGGAGTGTGTGTTCTTTTCTCATGCACCCTTAAAGAGGGTCACAGAGATGGACAGCAGGTTCCTACATCACCCTCCCTTGGTATTTACCCGTGACGCATGCATTCTTGGGAAAATTTGGGAATTCTTGGCAGGTGGCGCTGAGACCGTCTCTCCATAGTCTCCTTTTAAGCTGAGCTGGACCAGTGGGTTGAGCTCTCTCTGGATAATAGGGCTTTTCCACAGTCTACAAACAGCTCTGTAAAGATTCCCCATGAGCCTCTGAGCCCTGGGAGATTTACGGCTTTGTGCAACACCTTCATTACCGGAGTAGTATAAATTCAAACCATTATTACAAATTCAGAGGGAAACCTTAAAAAAATAAGAGCAGTAAAAGAGAATAACATAAGAAATCTGCTGATATTTGATTATACATCATTCTGATGGCGCGACAAACGAACAATATATTGGATTGAACAGCGGATGATGAATACAAACATCATACCCATGAGGTGGACACTGCGAATGGGACTTTGGAACATTTTTCACTTCTGTCAGGTGGGGGGTACATTTTTTGCCTACATATCCAAAATCTAGGCGGATATAATAAAACTTGAAGAAACCAATATTATGTCGAGTGACTTTAACCACAATGCATTAGCATTTAATACACATAAGACTGGATTTATTGTGTAACTACATTTTATTCTGAAAAAAACACTAGTATTTATTTCTAATATGTTTGAGTTATGGTGAGGTTTAGGAAGGGTTATCTTGAGAATTGTAGGCGTTAAAGCTAGTTTTTGATTTGGGTTGTGGTTAAGGTTTAAAAGTGTAACCACAAACATGAATTAAATTTAATGTACAAATGTCTATGTACATACAGTAAAAAGTACATAATGAATATATTGTATCAAATGGTTAATTACAAAGTAGTTAAGGCCACTTAATGTAGTGTGACCGCAAACTTTATTGCATTAATTTACGCATTATTGTAAAAAAAAAGAAAACATTTAATTTATCAACATGACCAAAATTTTGCAAAAAACTATTTACATTTCTTTTAATATATTTTTCAGTTGCTTAAAAGACCTTTTATTAACCTATATAAAAAATTGAGTCATGTTTTTTGCTTTAAAATCTTTGCTGATTAAAACTAATACAAACAACTGGTATAATGTAAAGAAAAGTTCAAAATAAGTACTGGCCTGAATCAGCTTATTATGAGGGCTGTTTTTGTCCATCTGTCAGTCATCATTGTACTGATGTGTATTTTTCTCTAACAAATAAAGCTGTCATGAACTGATATATCAATGTTGGGTTACTTGATATAACAACCCAGCAATGTGTTGAGTGTAGTTGTCAAAGAGTCAAAACTTATATTAATATGCATTTTATTAGGGATGCACTGATATGGATTTTTTTGCCTATATCAATAACCGATAACTCTTCAGATAAGGAGGCAGATAAATGATATATTAGCCGATAAATATAAATTTTTCAGAATGTTATATTTGTATACAGTGAACATCTGATTTTATTTTTAAAAATTCATAAAAGTTTAAACTGATCTTATAAACTTAATGGCTTACTCTGTTTCAGAATTGCAAGGTGATTATATAGACCAGGGGTGGCCAACCCTGTTCCTGGAGAGCCACCTTCCTGCAGATTTCAGTTGCTACCCATATCAAACACACCTGAACCAATTAATTAGGACCTGAACACCATGTGATAATTACAGGCAGGTGTGTTTGATATGGGTTGCAACTGAAATCTGCAGGTAGGTGGCTCTCCAGGAACAGATTTGGCCACCCCTGATATAGACCAAATGTTAAAGTCAGAATTATTAAAACCCCCTGGATTATTAGCCCCTCTGTTTATTTTTTCCCCAATTTCTGTTTAACGGAGAGACGATTTCTTCAACACATTTCTAAACATAATAGTTTTAGTAACTCATTTCTATTAACTGATTTATTTTTTCTATGCCATTATGACAGTAAAGGATATTTTATTAGATATTTTTCAAGACACTTCTATACAGCTTAAAGTGGCATTTAAAGGCTTGGCTAGGTTAATTAGGTTAACTAGACAGGTTAGAGTAATTAGGTAAGTTATTGTATATAGATGGTTTGTTCTCTAGGCTATTTTAAAAAATATAGCTTAAAAGGGCTAATAATTTTAATCTTAAAATGTAAAAAAAAAAAAAACTTATTAAAAATTTTTTTTTTCTAGGTGAAATAAAACAAAAATACTTTTTCCAAAAGAAAAAATACTATCAGACATACTGTGAAAATTTCCTTGCTCTGTTAAACATTTGGGAAATATAAAAAAAAAAAAGAAAAGAAATCAAAGGAGGGCTAATAAGTCTGAATTAAACTATATATTAACAATTTCACAAAAATAAATTCTTTATTTTTCTTCACATAGCAACTTAACATGCAACTTGATGTTGCATAAAAATAATAGCTTAAATACCAAAATGAGATTTAATTAACAAACAAGTAAACGCAAGCAATGCGTTCATTTTGCCAATAACGGACCAATAACGATAACCTTAAAAATAGCATTTATCGGCTGATATTGATATGGCCACCGATATATCATGCATCCCTACATTTTATGTAAGTGGTCTGTTATAATTACTGTAATTAAATTTACCAGTATATACTGTATGTGTAAAAGGGGCTGATAATGAGCACATTTCTGTCTTAACCTTTGCCTTGTTTGCAATTTATAAAGGTTAATCCACATTAAAACCTCTTCTAAACCCATCCACAGGTGGGAAGCTACGAGGGAGGAATTTTGCAGATGCGTTATCCTGTATGGCCTCGTTATGGCAGCTTCTTGGAGCCCGTGTCAGACAACCGGCATCTGACCGTGGCCACGCTGGAGGAACGGCCTTTCGTCATCGTAGAGAGTGTTGATCCTGCCACCGGCACTTGTGTGCGCAATACTGTGCCCTGCCGTCGACAGTCCAACAGGACTGAAAGGTACACCAGCGAACGTGGCTTAGAAAGGTCAACATCTGTGCTTGTTTTGCATGACGATTTTCTTCAAATGAGGTTGTTTATAATACCAATATCTAGAAAATAACCCAAAGTCTCCACATTATATCATACTCTCTCTGCTGCACACGCAAAGGTGATAATTTGATTACACCGATCCAATAAACAAATGGTTTCTTATTAAGAGAAGCAATAAAGAGTGTCCACTGGATGGATTGTGCCTACTACAGGGATAATAGGTAGCCATTAATAATTATAAAATAAGCAACAGCAACCTTTTCACTTTCTAGAATGAGTCACCATACAAACACAAACAGGAATGTCTAAAAACAAGAGCAAGCTTTACTAAACTCATGGTGGAAAAATCTCCACCATGTTCTGCTTGTGCACAACTGTTTTATATGATTTGCCAGCTTTTTTCTCGATGTTAGAAAACAGTCCGCTAATTAAAAAGAAAAGTCTAAAAAATCCTGCAAAAACTGGCAAACATCCCCATTTAGCAATATGGCACGGAAGTCACTTAGCATATGCTACTTGTTACAGTCCAGTGAGCTTATTACACATTTTATTGGGATGTTGCATTTGCAAGCTTGTCGAGAGTTCGAGATGCAGCTAATTATCTTACTGGAGTATTTAAAGTGGTAAGTTCACCAAGAGGAAAAAAAGAGAGAAATGCATGACTTCCTTCCGTGCAAGACTCTTTGTGTAGGTCTTCTCCATATAAACACATTGATCACAGCTATTAGGCTTCAGAAAATTCATGAATTTAAGTTGAGAAATGTTACGAAAGGATCATTGAGTTGGTGAGTTTAGAGGGATGATTTATTCTCTGACTGGTTTTGGGGTCAGTTTATGACTTAATGAACTGGTCACAGCCGTTCTTAAGTTAACAGCTCACTGGAGGTGAAGATTGCTAGTGAGTAACAAAATTAAATTACATATTTTATTTCCTCACTCAAAGCAGTCTTGTGACTTCCGAAGACTTGCATCCCTTGCTGTGTTTTTGACATTTTGTAGTACAAGTTTGTAAGTAATAGGTGAACAATGGTTAAAAAAGGATGCTTTGAGTAAATACGAGAATAAAGTCTGTGAATGGTGAAATTAGCACTGCATTATCAGATCCTCTTTAGACATTATGCTGATGATTGCAAGTCATTTGTAACAGACAACTACAGTTAAAGGCAAAATTATTAGAGTCATATTTAAGTGATTTATCTATAGAGTTAAATTATATACATTAAGTGATATTTAACAGATGAAGAAAATATTTCAGCGTATTTGCTATTATATTTTTCTTCTGGTGAAAATCATTTCTTTTAGTTTGGCTGAAAAGTATTAAAACTGCTATGGTCAATGTTATTAACTTCCTTGAGAACTGTACTTTTTTATTAGCTACAAGGGTACAAACAAACAAGGGTCAAAACTAGGGATGCTCCGATCAGGATTTTTGCAGCCAAACGAGTACCGATTGTCCTGGTGATCAGCCAATACAGAGTATCGGTTCTGATGCTTCAAGCTTTATAATGCATAAAGCACATTATCAAGTTATAAAATGTGATTATCGGCCGATACCGATCTTCAGCCGATCCATCAGAGTATCCCTAGTCAAAACACAGCCAGACAGTCCAGGAAATGCTTAGAAATGCTCACTACAGGGAAACAAGATTCAGCACTGGATGTATGTGTGATTGGGGTCTAGTCCATGTAATCAGTGGTGATGAACTGCAGTCGTGTGTGTAATCAGGAGGTGAGCTAAAACTGGTGTGTGACTGCAGGGCGTGATGGGATTTGTAGTTGGTTCAATGGCACATGCGATGTCTGGTGGGTAATCAACTTGGTGACTTGACATATACTAATAATGATGAATAATTAATAGCTTAGTAAAATATTATGTACTGTCATCATGGCGACAAGACAAGACATAATTTTGAATCTATTTTTTAATCTTCTCTCTGTTAAACAACACTATAAAAAATAGGATAGAATATTCAATAGAATTAAATTGCCACCAACACTACCATAACTAAACACCACTGACATGCTGTTAAGTATTTCATGTATAAAAGATAATATATTTGATATCTATTTATTTACATGAGATCCAACATATATTAAGTGATGTTAAGACTATTTTACTGTACTAACACATTTTCATAAATAATACAGTTTAACATACCAACTCATTTACACCATGTCATTTATAAAAGCACTACCTTAAAGCAAAAGTCTAAATAGAATGTTTTAGTGTTTCTAAAAATGGAAATGAGGCCCAATTTAAGCACCTTAGAGGCTCCCAATCTTGACTACTAAATGTTAGTGCTCTTGAGAGTGCCATCAAGTCTCATCTTCATTTACCAGGAGGCTTAATGATTTAAACACAAGCTCATTGGATTGAAGACCCCAAACCTATTATTAGGAATTGTTTAGCTCATTCCAGCAATTAATCTCTCAACCCTCTTTGCCCTAGGCGTAAACTCGCAATTTAAAATCCGTGACTCCTTGATCACAGTAATTTGCTTTCCTCTGTCGGTGGAATTTGTGAACAATAACACAGTGCGATTCAAAAAGTTTTTACCTTTGTTTCCCTCAGGTAAATGAAGGTGGGTTCAGTGAATTGTGTGGCTCTAGAGGTAACACATGGTGAGTGAGGAGTGTGTCGTGCCCAGAGAGAGAGAGAGATGACAGGCTCATTATGGCTCCATGCTGAGGGGAGAGAGTGTAAATAAATCATAAAGCAGAGTAATCACCCCTCGGGGAACGTGTGATGGCTGAGGGGGAAACAATGATCAATAACTGTAATGGTGACGTTCTGCTCTGGGCCCATCACACACCTTCATACTAATTGGCTCTGGTGTTCAGAAAGTTCTGGAAAGTATGACAACTGTTTTTAATTGGATCAGAAGAAACAATAGCCATTTTGTTTGCGAGTGTATGGATATATTACACCCTGATTCGTCACGTTTGAATTTTCCTGTCAATTTATCAATGATACAATTTGGAAAACTATTATTCAGGTTCAGTTTGGCATAAAGTAAGTGTATAGAGGCCAGGCATCGTTTTCACACACAAACACACGTTCAGGATTCAAACACACGTCCAGGATTCATGAAAGATCTGGAAAAGTAATAGAGTTTCGACAAGGCATTATCCAGGCCTGGGAAAGTTTTGGAAAAACCAATAAACCCAAAACGTTTTGACTCTTCCTGCGTGGGGTAACTCGCAGTTCCAGCTTTGCCTCTCTTTTACTCGCTTTCACCGTTATTCAGGAAACATGTTGAGTGTTGTGTCCAGAAACAACTTTCATTCGTACACACACTTATACATTCGGACAATTTAGCCTACCCAATTCACCTGCAGGGCTCGAAATTGCGACCATTTTGGTCGCATATGCGCCCGAAATTTTATTTATGCCACCTCAAAATAAATTTGGGGAGCACTTGTGCGAGTGCTAAAAATTGTTGTGTGCGACCAGTTTTTACTGCAAAATGTTCACCACATGCGCGGATTCGGGAGACACACAGAATGCATCTCTAAGCTCTTTGTCCGCACTTAAACACGAAAAGCAGCGCTCACGAATGGTTTAAAACAGTTGTCATGTCGGCTTGCTGCAGTAAAAGCCATGTCCGTAATGCTTGCCCCGCCTTCGGGCTCTTCTTATTGGCCCACCACTGCTCTAGCACTGAACGCGAATGATTGGTTAATATCAGCTGTCAATCACTGCCTTCTTGCTTGGGATGACTACTACCGCGAAAAACTAAATCGCTGAAGATGAGAACGAAGATAACACTGGCAGATTTTGTTTTAGAAAACAACTATTTACAAATAATAACACATCTTACTAGTGATCATGTGCTGAATGTTAATCCACCATCTACACTTTTCCAAGAGTGGATAAAATACTTCCGTTGGCTTTAAGTCAGTGGGATGGAGTTTTCAGGTAACTGTTTGCCACATTTAGCACGAGAGCTTCTGGTGAGCGCTCCGTTTATGCTTTTGGTCACTCAGTTCTGTTATAAAAATGTGTTTTCTTTGGATAACGGGATTTCGTTGAGACATATTTTCCTCACGCTTGCATATATATATATATATATATATATATATATATATATATATATATATATATATATATATATATATATATATATATATTTTTTTTTTTTTTTTTTTTTTGCTTGTTAGTTTGATTACTGTTGATTTCAGATGCAATAAATCTGTTTGTATTAAACTTGTAGTAACGGTGCTTATAATTGGTGGGTGCGACTTAAATTTAATTTCAAGCCCTGACCTGTACCGCATGTCGTTGAACTGTGGGGGCAACCGGAGCACCCAGAGGAAACCCAAGCAAGCGCAGGAAGAACATGCAAACTCCACATAGAGACGCCAACTAAGCCGAGCCGAGCCTCGAACCAGTGACCTTCTTGCTGTGAGGCGACAGCACTACCTACTGCGCCACTGCGTCGCAAAGTGAATAATATAAAAGTAAATATAATCTACATAATCTACATTTGATATGCTGTAATACACTTGAATATTCATTCATTCATTTATTATCTTTTTGACTTAGTCCCTTTATTAATCAGTGGTCACCACAACGGAATGAACCGCCAACTTATCCAGCACGTTTTACGCAGTGGATGCCCTACCAGCTGCAATCCATCACTGGGAAACATTCATACACACACAGACACTACAGACAATTCACCTCTACCACATGTCTTTGGACTTGTGGGGGAAACCCATGCGAACACAGGGAGAACATGCAAACTCCACACAAAAATGCCAACTGATCCAGCCAAGACTCGAACCAGCGACTTTCTTGCTGTGAGGCGAACATGCTACCTACTGCACCCCCGCATCTCTTACATTTGAATATGCATTTTTATTTTTACCATGTGTATCTACACAAAATATAAAACATTAAGTCATAAAAATTTATCTGAAATTGTTGGGAAACTGGAATTTCAGTAGTAAAAATGTGTATAAAC